TGTACGTATGAATCATATCAAACAACTTACAAAGCTTTTTTTCAATGTGGTGCAACAAAATAGTAAGACTTACTGCATTTGCTTTTTGTGTTTCCGAATTTCCTCACTGCTAATACAAAAATGTCCAAACACAGCTACTTCCGTATTCTGCGCATGCGCAGTTAGTTTTAAATATATGCGCATGCTCAGGTATTCGGAACTCCTCGATTCAATTACCGAACTCCTCTAAACAGCAGATTTCTGAATGTCTGAGCGTTTTGGGCTAAGGACATGTCCAAAATTTGGACAAAGTCTTTGTGAGGTTAAATCTAATTTTAGGTTTTTCGACCTCATAGAGTAATTTTGAACGTAATTAGACCTCTTCATTATGGGGTTAACCCCACAGTACCCAAAAAACCCCACACTGCTGGAAAATACGTTAATTTTACCCCACAATGTACCTCTCGTAAGAACAGACAGACAGACAGACGGACAGACGGACAGACGGACAAGGTGATTCCTATATACCCCCCCAAACTTCGTTTGCAGGGGGTATAATAAAAACCAGAAGTCTCTGTCGAGACTGTAGCTTTACTGGTTTGTACTTATAACAAAGGATGAGAAAAGAAGCCATTGCAATCAGAACAAAACTGTAGGAGTAGTGTTTTAAGGGAATTTCAGAGACATTTCTAATTTTTAATATGGCAACACTGTTCATCAAAATCGAAAACCAATGCACTATTTTATATATCATAGTGTAGTCTACTTGTGTGCCAAGTTATATTGAAATCAGACCAAAATTAAGTAGCGTGTTAAAGGAATTTCACAGAAAAATATATTTTTAGTAACCATGGTCACACCGTTCATCAAAATCAAAATCCGATACACTATTTTATGTATCTACATCTAGTCTACTTGTGTGCCAAGTTATATTGAAATCAGACCAAAACTGTAGGAGGAGTAGCGTTTTGAAAAATTGTTTACAGACAGACGGACAGACAGACAGCTAGGCAGATGGACGGACGACGGACACCTTACTATCGCATAAGCTCTTCTGGTCTCTGACCAGTAGAGCTAATGAGGAAATATGCCTCATCATAATTTTGTTTCATAGCTCTTTAAGACAAAAAAATGTTGAAATAAAATTGTATGTAATGTGGGTTAAAAAGTTAATGACCTTGACAACCGAATGAAATTCTTAGTAGTAGCTAATATACATAAAACAAGGCAAGAAAATGATGTCTGTATTTATAATTTGATAATTGTCCTGAGGATTATTTAAATTTGATCAGGATTGGTCAAAATATTAACAAAAAAAAAAATTTCTTAAATATTTTGTTATTTAATTTAATTTTTTTAAATAGTACTGACTACTAAAATTGTTCATTTTAGTTGTGACAATAGTTTTATGAAGATTTTAATCATGCAATATAGACCTTCATATTTTTCACTTATTAATAAACAGCAAATTTTAAATCATTAAAAGCATTTTGTTTGCAAATAGAAGTTTAAAAAAAAATCATTTTCTCTGAAAAATGTCCAATTAATTGAACAAAATAATTAAGAGCTAATGTTGGACTCTCAGGGCTGACACTGGCATAGTTTAAAAGGGATGTCTTAAAAGATCTATTAAAATTCTGGTGTGGCATTTCTCCTGCAATGGAGATCTAGTACCTCTTTCATTGAATCAGCTGTTAGAAGAAATCATGGCCTTGAATGAAGTAGCTCTTCATGTTCATTAAGGTGTGGCTGAGCCTAAAATAAATAAGCAAAATAAGCACCCTTTCTACTGTAATAACAAAAACATAGCGTTTACTGTTACAACATTAATTATTCTGGAACTTTGTAAAATACACTTAACATGTATAATGCTAAAATATTTGATCAAATAAATTATATTATTCGGTGTATAAATGAATTTATTTTTGATTAATATATTTCCAATAGACCAAGTATGTACCAGTAACCTTGTAATCATTGTTAGATGATGTCTTGTATAATTTTTTTTCATTAACGACATCTTTATTCCAATTTGTTTTCTGTTCACTTTTAAGCTGTTTATTATTATTATAAAATTTCTAAATAACAAATTAAACTATGAATGATAGCTTGCATAATGAATAATAAATTATAAACCTGATCATATTTCCTGTTTTGATTGTCAGCTAGATTTTCTTCCTCTTCATATTGTTTGAGCATTCAACTTCATGAGACAGGTTGGTGCATAGAGCAGCTAAAAGTTGAAATTTAATTAAGTATATTTGAGCAGATAATCAAAAGAGACATCATTCATACATTAAGTCTTGTTTTAATATAGTTTTTCAAAAGGTGTTATATGCTTGTTAAAATAATTTAAGCATCCCCTACCCCATTTTTTTTAAATCAAAATTTCAATAAACATTTGTTTAAACATTAATTATGTTATTTAAATCCTAATAAGAACATTTATAAAAGGACATACATGTGCACTTTAAAATTATAAATATTCTATTACATTTACACATACTAGTATACAGTTTTTACACTGACTGTACAATACTCACAGGTTCCAGGAAGAACAAGTCCTCTAGCCTCTGTGTATTTTGAGTACACCATTGACTGGGATCAGTCTGTTGGATTTCTGCTTCTCATGGAATGAATTATGATTCACAAGATTTAAAATAAGGAATGGCACTTGACATCAAATTTCTTCTTCGCACATCACGCAGTCACTGTTTTGTTTCAACGGCACAGAAAAATGTGTGGAACATTTGCATATTTTCAGAAGTGGACGGCAAAATACCACATTCTGTTAGTATTATGTCCTGATTATTCGTATCAACTGAATTCAAATTAATTACATCTTCTGACAAGTGGAATTTGTAGTAAAAACGAAGCAGCAAACCAATCTGAAAGTCTTCTGCTGGCAAAAAACATTCCTTTTTTCCACAGGAAACAAAAAAGAGTTACACGAAGGGAAATAACTCTTGATAAAATTTAGCACTTTTCTCTTGAAAAACAGCAAATTTACAAGGCTCTATTTTCTTTATTTTAAATAACACACCTCCAATTTTTTTAAGGTTAACTTATATATGTATAATCTTTTTTACAGGATTAGTTTTGTTGAATTGCGTTGCTGCGTTTATGAGTTTCAGCCACATACATTATAAAGGAAATAATAGCAAATGTGACAAAAGTATTACTTGCTGGTTTCCATGGAAACAGCAGTATCCCGTCATTTTGCATATACCAGTATACTTGTCTAGTAGTATGTATTAATTTACCAAAGTTTTATTAAAATCGATGACTATGGCTTTCCATCAAATTTTGGTGCTTATAGAGAATGGCTCTTAATATCTTTTAGTTGAAATAATATTTTTAATATATTTTTATGTGAAATGCTATTAGAATATATAAGTTGTAATATTATGCAGAAAATATTAACTTCAAATCTGTGTCAAAGCACCTTTAATACTTTGACCTTCGGTTCCTTGTTATGGCGTTTGCATGCAAAAGTTCCACCACATTTTATATACAGAATAAATGTGCTTGGATGACTGTAAATAAATATATCTTTTTAAATAAATCTAAATATAAACTACATATAGAGCTTAACTAGTAGTAGTTACCCCATATCCTACTGTTGGTTATGTGTAGATACCCGATGGGCGTGGTCATAATGACACGAGGGAGCGTAGCTCCCGAGCTGTCATTATGACCACGCCCATCGGGTATCTACACATAATCAACAGTGTGATATGGGGTAAATGACTTGTACCATAGTTTTCAAAAATCATTCATATGTAAGTCAGCTTAGGAATTGGTCGGACTGGTTCGCGTGATTGAAACATGAAGTGTTTGGTTTCAAATATGCATTTGGATTTTATATGATTTCATGCTCCTTCGTGTCCTTCTGACCACGTCCATCGAATATAGGGTAAGTGATTTGTATACAATATACTTTTCAAATTTTGCTACAAATTTTGTCCTATACTCGGTACTCAGGGTCATTGAACAGTGAGGGATCTTCCTGTCAACACCTTCTCCGACACGGGACCTCTGTTTATACTTTATAGGTCTCCACGTCCCACAGTGGGATTCAACTTCTTACTTTGTGACTCTAGGGCAGGTGCTTAAACCACTGGGCCACGCAAGCGACATAAAAAATAAACACCTAGGCCCGCTTAAAAAGTTTGATTTATGTAATTGAAAAAATAACGAGTTTGGTTTCAATGATATATGTTAATTTGATTTGATTTTTTTTCTCGTAAATTTCAATCGTCAAAATTACATACTAGTAATTTAAATTTATTAATATGAAATTGGTTTAACTTAAATTTTTGTAAACCTGATACAAACTTTGCCGTGCACAGAGGTACGTTGTGTACACTTGTTTTTACGTCAAGTATGCACCGTGTTTCCTTTGTTGGTTATCAAAAGAACGATATATTGAAATCTACTAAGCTAACGTCCCCCTGGTCATTACACTATTTAATTTTTTTTTTTAAATCAAGCGATTTCTTAAGTTTTTTTCCTTCACTTTTCACTAAAGTTAAAGTATTAAATAAATGGATAAATAAATAGATATACAGCATTTATTACAAAATGCTGTATACAATTGAAATTTTTTACTCCTTTTTACTCTCCTAAATTTGGTATGATTGTTTCATTTAAAAACCGTGCATGATCGTTTTATAAATAGTTCTTTTGTCCCGACTCGATGGGCGGAGTTATAGAAAAGTGTGGGTTATGTACAGAAAACCTACACTTTTAACAAAAGAAATCACACCTAACTATGGTACAAGTAAAAGAAATTCCGTCTTTAGTATTTTCTGACTATATATTCATATTCAAGCATTTTAAAATCCATAGCGTTTATCAGAAATAAGCATTACATGTTTCATTGTTATTTATTTACGTTATAATATCACAAGATTAATAATGAAAAAAGATATAGTAAGATTAAAACAAAAAGTTTATTATACAGAAAGAATAATACAGTAATGGATTAATGGATAATAAGTTTTTACAGTATGTTTAGAATATAATAAGACGATATCAAGAAATTCGTTACATAATAATTAAAGACCAATAACAACATAACTTTGTATTTTAACATCATTAACAGAGCAAAAACAAGAATTATAACACCATCATCTATCATATATAGATTTGATTTAGTATGTACATGCATGAGTGAAATATGTTACACGTTATGAACCTAAAAAAACCTCATAACTGACTGAATGTCCTAAATACAATCAAGTCTAAAAAAAAAACATTATCAACAATTAACGAGTCATTAACACATCATGTGACGTAATCAGTGAGGTTTGATCATCATAAGAGTCCCCGTTATATCACTGCCATTATAAAGTGGCGGATTCCAAGGTTGGTACCAGTCTGACCATTGACCGTTGAGGTTGGCGTCATGACATCCGTTATACCACCAGCCACCTCCTCCTCCCCAGACAACAGCACAGTTAACACTACCATGACTGTCGTGGTCTCTGTCCAGGGTGGTGAACGACATCCCGGACAGATATTCTAACGAACTCCCTGTGTCTAGCATACGGTCACCTACAGTAATCAAGATAAATACCGGTATTACAGGACTATCTATATCAACCATATTTATATGATATAATGAACAGTATCAAGGTTAGAATATTACATGATTATCTATAACAACTATATTTATACGATATAACGAACAGTATCACAGATAAAATATTACATGACCATCTATACTAAATCATAGCATTCCTATTTGTAAAATTTCATCTATATCTATTAAATATTACACTATCATATATATCAAACCAGATAATTTCAATTCATAGCAGTAAAACTTAAAGAAAATCCCATACTATATTTAATATTAATATATATTAAACATCTTTATAATTGCTAGTATTTCTTATTGTAAACATTAAAAATGATTTATTTTAATTATTTCAAATAAACACTTGTATTAAAACAACTGTTATAATGATCGCATATCATTAAATAACCTGTAACTATTTATTGCACAAGACTAATTTTACTTGACAGAAACAGCATGATTTCCATTCATTTGTAGTATTGCATTTGTTGGCCTTATAATTTATTTCTGAATGAATTAAAAATAACTCTCAAACCCTTTCTCTCTCTCTCTCTTTGCACATTGGTAGTCAAACATTTTTACTATTACTTACCTAATGTCCCCGTAGCTGGTCCCCCGAGAAGAAGTCTGTAGTTGTCTGATTCACCAGAAACAGAGAAATGGTGATAACGTTCATACAAGGTTGTGCCATTTCTTAATGTGATGGAGACGAATAGTGAGGAGTTCCTTCCCTTGGTCAAGTGATGAATCATATCATTTCCTTCAAAATATAATTATTCTAGTATATTGATCAGAAATAAACAAGATAAAGAAAATATTTTGATTTCAGGGTCACCTAAATATCACCTGTAATACAACCAAATACACTAAGTCTTAGATAGTTTTGCAGAGATGTCATGCATGCCAGAAATCCACTTGATTTTATACTAAATTATAAAATATCTCCCATTATTATATATGGCATGGGAAGGTTTATTCTTATTAAAAAAATAAAAACATAAAAATCTAAAATTTTGATTATAAAATAAAATACTATGGTAACAAAACATACCAATCCAGTAAGAGTCAGATACGTTCCCAAAACCTTTTTTGTATTCCGCCCAAGTTCTGTTGAAACCAATAGATCCGCTCAATCGTCTCTGAATTGCCTAAAATGTATAATGGAATAATAATCATATTTACATTGTGTATTATTTATACTTTTTTCAAAACATAAAAATACTTTATGCATAACTTCACAATACAGACTGTGGCTTAATTACGAATTCACATTTTGTACTTTTTAGCTTATATAAACAGAAATAAAATAGCCTTGACGTTTAATAGCTTTAATTGTCTGATGATTTTTGTAAGGTTAGTTTTATATACAGATTCTGTTGTTCATTATTCTTTTTAAGTTTATATTGGAAAACAGATAAATGTATTTAATATATTATCTCAAGATTCCTATTTCTTCAATGTGTAAATTTAAAATTACTTTAGCCAGTTTTAATAAAATTAAGTACAAATTTCATACTAGTTCCACTCAGTTTTTTTTTTTTTGTTTTAGCAAGAAGGTGAAAATAAATTAGAATTAAAATACATTCATAAATCAAAGTATAATACATTTGAAGGTAAGACCTGATTTTTATATACATATATATATATATATATATATATATATATATATATATATATATATATATATATATATATATAGAGAGAGAGAGAGAGAGAGAGAGAGAGAGAGAGAGAGAGAGAGAGAGAGAGTCTTACTGTCCACCCTCCGTCCTCTGTTTCCATGTCACAGAACACTTTGAGTCTGCTCTCGTTATCAAAAGGATAAATAGTATATACCCCTGACTGTTTGGGTCCGGTGATATACATGTAGAGATCCTGACAATCCACTAGTTTTAGTTTTAAACCTGAATGTAAACGAAATAAATTCATGATATTGTTTTAATCATATCAATTAATTGATAAATTAAATTTGAGAGAGAGAGATAGGTATACCCTTTTTTACGATTTGGACATCTTCATAGGTTTTGGTTACATCTTCCTCAAGTCTCCTCACCATTAATCTGAGGGAATCTACAGTTTCTTGGATCCTCATTTGTTGTAACAGAATTTCTCTAATTCGTTCCATTGCCTCTCCATTACTGGCGCAGCGATTTTTTTCTTTTGGATAAATGTACTGGGCACTTATACATAAGACGCCGCAGATGATGAACGCTGCCCACACCATTTCTATGTTTAAACTTTGTTGTGTTAACTAAGGCGTTTCTGGAATATAGCGTTTCTGGAATATAGCCTCATCTTTTTGTATACAAGTCTGAACAAGGAAGTGTTAAATCTAACCAATGAAATGATTCAATACTATTATACCTAAATGTTAAGCAGAAAATTCATTCTACAATTATGAAATAATGGAAACATCCAATAAGTTTACAAAGTATCGATCTGGCGCGTAAAATCAGAGAGGGGCGGATCAGGCGCGTGAAATCAGAGAGGGGCGGACCTGTCCCTCCACTTATTCTAGGCATTTTAACAAATATTGGAATGTTCAACCTTAAGTGCTAAAGGCTCACCATCGTTATGATCTACGAGTAGTGTAATAATTCAATTAGAAAAAGTAAGCAAAAAAAAAAAAAAAAAAAAGAAAGAAAGCGAAATCATACAGAAGAAAATAAATCATTATCGATACTTTACTTTGTTGACGATCTTCCCATCCTGATATAAGATCGAGGTAAAAAAAAGAAATGACCAAACAAAATTGATCAATAAAAACAAGTGGAAGTCGATTAAAAATTAATTTAAAATATAGTTTCCTTTGACAGAAGGATTAATACATTTTTAGCGTTTGGTTTTGTATATTACCGAATTGTAAATGAATAACAAATAAATAAACATTCTATCAGTTTTAAAAAAATCTCTTTTAACAGATACCAAAGTGTTTTACGTTTTATAATTATATCAAATCTATAGCTAAAAACGTAATTGTAAACCATTAAAAACATTGAAATTTAATCATTTATGTTAACAAGCCTTTGACATTCACTACACTCCCGTGACTTACATTTTGACATATAGAGAATACATGGTTGTAGAAATCTGTTACGAGAAATAAAATACGTATTGCACGTAAGATATAGACAAGGCAACATTTGTCAGGCGGTACATGTAGAACAAGCCAAAAAAAACCATAATAATGTTTTAAAGAAACAAAGAAAAACAACCAAATTGAAAAACTTTTTGATGGAGAGCCTGTATGTTTGAAGAAATGATGTGGGTTCCAAGTTTCATTTTGACAATTTTTTGAAATTAATTAAAAGTAGACAGAAACATAGTTGCTTGGTCGTATCGTAAAAAAATAGAGAAAAACAGAAAAAGGGTTCTACCGGCCTTACAATTAAAATTTACAGAGACGTTCAACATACTTTTAATAACATTAGGCACGGGGGTCTAAGTGATACAGCCCTAGTATAGCAATTTTATCACAAGAGTAGCATGATATAAATACTCGACCTGAAAAGGAATAAAACAAATTCAAGACTAAGCTGTTTGTAATCATTTTTTGATTAAATATGGAATAAAAGATTTTTTTTCTGAATTTAACTATCGACAGTTTCTCTTATTATTTAAAGTTTCCAAGATAATTATCAAATCTTATATCATAAGAAATTTTTATTTCTAATACAAAAAACACATTTTGTGGTTGTGTATAATTATGAAGCAGGATTCAAGATAGACTGCTAGTCACGCGTACATATTACTATAATCTTGTCAAAGAGGGTTATTTCGATTTCGGATAAAACAGTCAAAAATAAAACAATTATATAAAAATGAATGATGTCATTTACAGTCAAACTTGTTTTAAGAGGCCACCTTTGGGAAGTCTGGAAACTTGCCACTTAAGACAGGTGGCATCTTATTCCAGTTTGCCCTCGAAAAGGACATTTGTCAATAAATATACAACATTAAGCACTACAGTTTAATTAATTAATCATAATTAAACAGTTCAATTTCACAAAAGCTTTTTATGGGTATATATAATAATTAAAGCTCATTTAAAAAGAATACTAAAGAATTCGAAATGTTGAAGGTTTTGTGCATGTTTCTGTTCTTACATATTAGTTAAACATCATGCATTCATAAGTGTGCTTTTGTTACATTGAATTATTAAAAAAAAATTTCTTTTAATTTTAATTTGAAGAAATACATACAGTGCTTGACTATTATCCTTTTTATAAAGAAAAAAATACACAAAAATACAGTTTAATGGTTAATGAAATAAATCATAGGAATTTAAGTAAAAATATGTCAATAAAAATTCACTTACATATGTTAAAAAGATAGTCAGTAGTGTATCCCCCCCTCAACTTAATCAATCGGTAATTAACCTACTTACTGAAGTTTATAAAGTCTGATTAATTTTATTGTTTATAAAGCTGTCAGAATTTCTGTATAACATACACAACAAGAGGCCCAGGGGCCACAGCGCTCACCTGAGCACATCAGGCTTGAATTTACCCCCCTCCCCTTCCAGGCGTTCATTATTTGAACAAACTAAAATCTTCTCTACCTGAGGATAATTCCATATAAATATCACTAATCATAGCTTAGAAGTACTTGAAAAGAAGATTTTAAAAGGTTTCCCTATATATCCCTATGTAAAACTTGAGTCGGCCATTTTGGCCCCGCCCTACCCCCGGGGGTCATGATTTGTACAAACTTGAATCTACACTACCTGAGGATGATTCCACATGAGTTTCATATTTCCTGGCCCAGCGATTATGGAGAAGGATTTTTAAAGATATTTCCTATATATTCCTATGTTAAACTTGGGTCGGCCATTTTGGCCCCACCCTTGCCCCGGAGTCAAGATTTGTACAAACTTGAATCTACACTACCTGAGGATGACTCCACATGAGTTTCATCTTTCCTGGCCCAGTGGTTCTGGAGAAGAAGATTCTTTTAGATTTTTCCTATATAATTCTATGTAAAACTTGGGTCGGCCATTTGGGCCCCGCCCTACCCCCGGGGGTCATGATTTGAACAAAGTTGAATCTACACTACCTGAGGATGACTCCACATAAGTTTCATCTTTCCTGGCCCAGTGGCTGTGGAGAAGAAGATTTTTAAAGATTTTTCGTATATATTCCTATGTAAAACTTGGGTCAGCCATTTTGGCCCCACATTTGCCCCGGGGCTCATGATTTGAACAAAGTTGAATCTACACTACCTGAGAATGATTCCACGTGTGTTTCATCTTTCCTAGATCAGTGGTTCTGGAGAAGAAGATTTTTAAAGATTTTTCCTATATATTCCTTTGTAAAATTTGGGTCGGCCATTTTGGCACCACCCTTGCCCCGGGGGGTCATGATTTGAACAAACTTGAATTTACACTACCTGAGGATGACTCCACATGAGTTTCATCTTTCCTGGCCCAGTGGTTGTGGACAAGAAGATTTTTAAAGATTTTTCGTATATATTCCTATGTAAAACTTGGGTCAGCCATTTTGGCGACACCCTTGCCCTGGGGGTCATGATTTGAACAAACTTGAATTTACACTACCTAAGGATGCTTTCACATGAGTTTCATCTTTCCTGGCCCAGCGGTTCTGGAGAGGAAGATTTTTTTAAAATGCCATTAATTTTTAACAAATTCATGATTATCTCCCCTTGGAAAAGGGCGTGGCCGTTCATTTGAACAAACTTGAATCCCCTTTACCCAAGGATACTTTGTGTCAAGTTTGGTTGAAATTGGCCCAGTGGTTCTTGAGAAGAAGATGAAAATGTGAAAAGTTTACGACGACGACGACAACGACGACAACAACGACAACGACAGACAACGGACAAATTTTGATCAGAAAAGCTCACTTGAGCCTTCGGCTCAGGTGAGCTAAAAATAAAATTAACCAGTTGACTAGAGATATGTATATACGCAGCTGAAAATCATTCCAAGACACAGGTGTCAAATGCAGTAGAGCGTGACTAATGCCTATCAATCGTCTCTTGATAGTGAAATTCACGAGATAATCATGCCATATGAAGCACTTTGTTTTTACAAGAGTAGCAATTAGGGCTTCTACATGGAATCAAAATCTAAAGGTGTGAATTTCTTTAGCTAGAGGAAAGTATCAATTGTACAGTAGTAAAATTCTTTTAATTTTTCAATCGGCGATTTTGAAAAATAATTACAAATTGATCTGACAGGACAAATATTTATTTTTTTCATGAACAAAAACCGAGTTCAGCGTATCTAAAAGCAATTTCTTTAATTGCATTAATAGGTTTAATTGACTATCGAGGATATAATTATCCAAGCCAAAACGTTTAAAAGATGATAGAATCGCAACAAGTGACGAAATGGCCGCCTATTACAGTGTCAATAAAGCTGTTGGGGGAGGATTTGAGTGGCCGCTGTCCGCGTTACACAGGTGGCCGTTTATTCCAGTTAAAATATATAGTAAAAATCATCGGGGGGAACTAAAAGTGGCCGCTGACTGCAAGTGGCCGTTGATTTCGGGTGGCTGCTAAGACAATTTTGACTGTATATGACAACAATATCATTACAGGGAAGTTTTGAGAAACATGATATTAAAAAAGTGGCGTATTCATATCAAATATGAATCTGTATGGTTCAAAGGTTATGACCAAAGGTTAAAAAAACAATTTGTAGCATAAAGGCAGATTGATGTGATTTAAAAAAGCATAATAAGTGATTATGCATACCGCATTTGAAGTCTTTATCTCTCAAGGTACAGAAGTTATAGCAAAGGTTAAAGACAACAGACAGACAAACAAACAGATAAACAGCTACAGACAGAACAAAAGTATTATAGGCCTCAATCTTTAGATCTTTTGATCCTGGCGCATACTAACATTGAAATTCGAGCAAACAAAATTTACCGGTATCAGTAAATAATTAACTCTTCAGTTTGGCTAATCGAAGCTATATTATGGTACCTATTGATATGTATGAAAGACACAAGTCGTCCTACATCACTAATTTTAAGAGAAGAATGGGCGTAGGGTTATTACAAGAACTGGAATACGTATTGTGCATAAAAATAGACCGGTATCAATAAATAATAAACTCTTCAGTTTGGCTAATCGAAGCTATATTATGGTACCTTTTGATGTGTACTACAGACAAAGGTCGTCCTACACCACTCATTTTAAGAGAAGTATGGGCGTGGGGTTATTATAAGAAATGGAATGTCTATTGCATATAGAATATAGACCGGGTGCCGTTTGT